GATATCCACCCATAGAGAGATGAAACTGAATCTCTAACTTTCACCATTAACAAAAGTCAACTCAAATTGGATCAAAGATCTGAACCTAAAACCTCAAACTATAAAACTACTGGTGGAAAACACTGGGAAAACTCTGGGAGACACTAGAGTAGATAAAGACTTCTTAAACAAGACTTCCAACGCACAGGCAATATCCCTCAGATTAAGAAGTGTCTGCAAAGCAAAGGGCACAGTAATTAGTGTGAATTGACAACCCTAAGAACAGGAGAATATTTTTGTAAACTATGTCTCAGTCAAGGGGCTGATAACCAGAATACACAGGGAACTCAAGCGACTTACCTGGAAAAAAAAAAAAAAAAAGATTAACCCAATTAAAACATGGGAAAATGAGCTGCACAAAAGCCTCTCTAAGGAAGATATAAGAACAGCCAAAAAGCATAGGAGGAAATACTCAACATCCCTCATCATAAGGGAGATGCAGATTAAAACCACTATGAGATACCACCTAACCCCTGTTAGAAAGGCAAAAATTAAAAATACAAAAAGTGTTAAGTATTGGCAGGGTTGTGGTGAAAGGGGAAACCTCCTACACTGCTCATGGGAACATAATTTGGTCCTGCCACTGTGGAAAACAATGTGGAGGTTCCTCAAAGATCTACAAACAGACCTACCATTTGATCTAGCAATCTGACTTTTGGGTATCTACCTAAAGGACAAGAGAATGCTGAGTAGGAAAAGCGCTTGCACCTCAATGTTTATTGCGGCATTATTCATGATTGCTAAGACATGGAACCAACCCAAATGTCCACAAACAGATGAATGGATAGAAAAGTGTGGCACATATACTCTGTGGAATACTATTCAGCCATAAAAAACAACATGACCCTGGCATTTGATAGAAAGTGGTCGAATATGAAAGATTTATTGCTGAGTGAAGCAAGCCAGGTTATGAAAGAAAGATATTTTATATATCCACTTAATATATATTGACTATCTGCACTCTATGGTAGAGATTGAAGGGCATAAAAGCAGTGAAAATAGTTATGGACACTTATGACAATGTGGAATGGGGGGCATTCTCTATAGAAGGAAAGTGGGACAAAAAATGGAGAGGCATGACATTTGTGGGACTCAGAAATGGTTTATTACCTGTTGATGATAACATGTATAGTATCCTCTTTCTTTATTTTTTCTTTTTTTGGAGAGGTTTTTTGCTATAGGGCGCGTGCACTCGCCAGGAAGACGGAGAGAGACAGAGAGATAGAAAGCGAGAAATCACCACCCCCTTCCCCCAGGGGGGATGGCCATGCTGCAATCCCTTCTCCTCCATTCTCCTCTCAGGATCTTGGGCATGCATTCACACATGCCCCGCGTGAGTTTAAGCCACCGGGTCTGGGACTCGAACTGCCATCAACTACTTGGGAGACCAGTGACATAGCCATTACACTAACTGCTGGTCCCACATATGTATAGTATTCTCAGCTGGACTGGTCTGAGAAGTATTTAATGTTGGGTAAATTCTCTTTACAAGCCAAAGGATATATAGCAATCAAATTTTAAAATAATAATAATAATCTTGGGGAAAAAAAGAATGAATAAATAAATCACTAGGTACTATATAGCCTGACGAGGTTGACATGGAAAACTAACCATCACAGCTATTCTGTTCCCCACGCACAACTCTCCCCTCCCCTGCTTTACTTTTCTCATTAATGCACCAAAAACACATTTTTTAATTTTCGTTATCCATCTTATACGTTGTCTTTCTTCCCCTATCACTAGAACACACTTCCCACAAAGGTGGAAATTTCATCTCTTGGGTTCCCTGCTATACCCTAAGAACCTAGAACATATTTGGCACTTAGACGGCATCCAGGAATAATTTGTTGAATAGTGAGTAAATTATAAGATCTTATACAGGGAGGAATTGTTTCTTAAACTTATGAAATGAGGAATTTTCCAAATTTAGAAAATTTGGAAATTTAAAAAAGATTAAGAATAGGGAAGATCAATCAAAATGACAAAAACCTGGGGCCAGTCAACTACTCTCTCTTTCACCTGAGAGTTGCATGGTGGTTAGGGCAGCTGGATCCCACATGGCCAACTGCACAGTTCAAGTCCCAGATCCAGTGACTTGAAAGACACCCAGTAGCAATATATGCCCAAAATCCCAAAAGGAGAATGGAGGAAAAGGGATTGTGGATTGGACATCCTCCTGGGGGGTTATTTCTCATTTCCCTCTCTCTCTCTTTCTGTCTCTCTCTAATGAGTACACATACCTTATAGCAAAACTAAAACCAAAAATAGTAATAATGACAAAAGTCTGCTACCAAAAAGACAGTTGGCAAAAGGGAATTATGAAGGCTGCTTTCAGGCCCTCCCATGGGACACAGAAATGGACAATTTCTTAAATATAAGGAGTCTCTAAAAAGTTCATGAAAACTGATTATTATAAAGAAACTATGCATTAGTTCCAAAAATTTTTGGACCAAATAAACTCATACTTTAATTCCTTTTCCTCAAACTTTATAAAGTCTCCTTTTCTTGTACAGGTTGAAGGGAGATAACTGGGCCAGGGAATGGTGAAATTAAATGGAGAAATAATTAAAGATAGTTCTAGATGAAATGTATGGAAGTAAGGCAATTCCTGAAAGATGACAGATATCATTACATTTGGCCCTAGATAACTAAGATTTTGGATGGTAACCATGTAATTTATGTGCAAGTTTTACTAACAACAATCTCTGCTGATAAATTCTATCTTCTCAGAGATACCTAAATAGTGTCTCTTTAAAAATATCTGTGAGATACCTTATTTGCAAGATGGCAATAGAATTTTTTTTAAAGAATTATTATTTAATTTTAATTATCATTTTTTTATTTGCTACAGAACATACTTACTTGTGAGAGAGAGACAGAGAGACAGTAAGAAAGCAACCCACCAGGTCTGGGACTCAAACCATATTCAGCCATGTGGGATTCCAACACCTTAACCACCATGCCACCTGCTGGTCCCTTGGCAATACAATTTTTATGAAATAACAAAGGCCATAATGGGGAAACATTATAGTTGTTTCTCTCTTTTTTTGGAGAGGTTTTTGCTATAGGTCATGTGTGCATGCTAGAAAGACAGAGATAGAAAGTGAGAAATCACCCCCCAGGGGGGATGGCCACGCCGCAGTCCCTTCTCTTCCATTCTCATCTTGGGATCTTGGGCATGCACGCAAACGTGCCCGGCATGAGTTTAAGCCACCGGGTCCGGGACTCAAACTGCGGTCGGCTACATGGGAATTCAGCGACATAGCCATTATGCTAACTGCTGGTCCCAACATTATAGTTGCTTCTTTATATTAAGAACTATGAATATCAGTGTTTATTTCCCCAAACTTATTTTACTCTAAAAATATTTTTGGGCAAGCTCTGAATCTAAAGTCAGTCTTAAAATGTGAAATCAATGGCAACTTTTGGTATAACGTGGCATTGACCACATTTTCTGGTCCTTAAATCTGGATTCTTAATGTTTCAAACTGGCTACCTATGGCCACGTAGGGCCCACAAATGTTTGTTTGGTCCACACAGTATTCTTTTTTTTTTTTAAGAGGTTTTTGCTATAGGGCGCGTGCGCTCGCCAGAGACAGAGAGACAGAAAGCGAGAAATCACCCCCCAGGGGGGGTGGCCACACTGCAATCCCTTCTCCTCCATTCTCCTCTCGGGATCTTGGGCACGCACGCACATGCACCTGGCATGAGTTTAAGCCACCGGGTCCGGGACTCAAACCGCAGTCAACTACATGAGAGTCCAGAGACATAGCCATTACGCTAACTGCTGGTCCCCACACAGTATTCTTTCATAAAATTTGTTTTTTCAGTAGGGAATGGAAAACTCAGCTTGCTTTAGACTCCATCACTCCCTGGTGTTTTACACCAAGCTCTTTGTTTATGTAGTCTCTGCCCATTCTCTTGAAAACGTATGGGTTGGTAACTTTCCAATTCCAGTACTAGAGAGAAGATACTGATACAAATCAAAAGATGAGGAATTGGAAATGATGGTACTAATAAAAAGGTTGTCGCAGGTGGGTGACACAAAAGGTGCTGATATTGCACTGATTAATGTGCCATAGTTAAGGGAATCAGAGATATCAAAGGAGGAAATTTTGCTTGAAAAGGAAGAAGCATGCTTCTGAGGGTTCAACTGAGAGTGCAAGCCTCTTGGGTAAAAAACAAGCTTATAATAGCAGCAAATAGAACCAGGCCTGGCAGCATGAGTGGTCTCTTGGCTTGGGGTCTGCCTTAATGCCACATAGGTGTGAAAGGCAGGCTCTTTCTTTACTTTCTTGCGTGCAGTTGGAGGGCCCATTTCTTTCCCATTGGTTCAGCTCTGTCTTCTCAGTACTTAAGGAAATGTTGGTCTCATTATCTTGAACTTTTCTGAAACCATATATTTAATAGGGCTCATACTAAAAACAATAACTTACAGATATAATAGGATAGAGACACTCTTGTCATTTGACTATCCTATTCCTTGAAAGTTTGACCATTTCCCATAAAGTTATTATATACGAGTACTCAACTTTTTTTTTTGTTTTTGTTGTGTTTTGTCTCAGACAGAAAGAAGGATTTATCAGTGGACATGAGCAAGGAGGAGGCAGCATAGTGGAAGTCCTCATGAGTTCAGGGCCTGGTCCTTGTCCCAGGGGCCATGACTGGAAACATATTTGACCACAAAGCCATCCAGGATAGGCCAGCTCTCAGTCACTATATTTTCAAATTCATTTCCATTAAACTTGCTGAAGCCCCACTTCTTTGCATATGGATCTTCTGGCATCCAGGGAACTTGAACCTGGCCCTGTGTTGGGACTCATTCATGAGCTCTCTATTCTGCAGCTCAGTTCAGGTGGACTCTAGCCACTGTGCCTCAGGGCTTTCCAGGCACCCTGCATGCCTGTCTTGGTTCTGAACTGGGGGCAGCAGAAGATCAAGGACACAAGTCCATTAGAAAGGGCTGTCTCCTTGGTCCCTTAGGGGCCACCCACACAAGCAACAGGCTGTGTATACTACTGCTGGAGCTGTTGTTTGCAGCCATTGCCCTTGTGAGCCTCCATAAGGAGAGGAACATGGTCAGCTAATTGGCTGCAGAGCGACTATTTAACTTTAAAGCTGGTTCCACACCTCACAGACGTTCAATGAATGAGTGACTACTCACTGAGCCTTTGCACTGTCCCTGGCATGTGAATACACACATGTAATACATGGAGATGAGACACATATAGGCAAAAACATAACTAATAACGCAAGGCAATAAAGTTCCAAGCATTACCGAGGAAGCTTGCCCTATGGGAATTCAGTAGCAGGAGGGGAAAAGTCACTATAGACTGACATGGGCAGAAAAGGCTTCATGACCAAAGAAAACAGAACTCAGACAGGCAGAGAGGAACAAAGCATCTTCTGGTGGGAAGTAATTATATAAGCAGAAATACTGAGGTGGGATTGCATTTATATATTGAGTTGCAAAACTCTTTCCATTACACCCAAGGGAGTAGAGTAAAAGATTAACATGTTTTTCAAATGTAGACTCAGCATACATAAAGAGATAAGACTTTTTTTCTTATTTGTAAAATTATTTAAAGAAATACTTCCAAATTAAGCAACATTTAGTCTAAGATGCAATAAATCATTCTTTTTGAGAAGAGCAAAATTAAGTAAGAATCACCTTCCTTAGTATGAGCTGTTCATTATCCACAGTTCCTCTGGGTGCTGGTTACTTGTCAGCTTCAAGTCCAAGTCTATCCTCTGCTCTTCTAAATGCTGTCCTTCCAGGGCTAGCTGGGCTTCCCATCAGATGTTGCCAATAGGAGCATTAGAGTACAACCGTGGATCCTCCTCAGAGCAACCTGCTTCCTCCCACTCCTCCTCTTGATTTTTTTGTTTCCCCAGCCCTAGAAATGGCAATTTTTTATACTAAATTATTTTTAATTTTTCAAAAGTTATGTTCAAGCAACATAAAATTCACTGTTTTAAAAATTAGTTAGAGGATGTATATGTTCACCAGAGAGAGAGAGGAAGAGAGAGAAAGCACCCCCAGTGGAATGTTTCATGCCACAATTCCTTCTCTTCGATTCTCTATCCTGTCAGGATTTGAGACATGCACACACACATAACTGTGTGTTTTTAAAGCCATCAGGCGAGGATTTGAACAGGTGCCACATAAGATTCAATTTCTTACACACAGCACTTAATCACCTGAAAATTCACTTGTTTAAAAGGCACAATTCAATGTTTATTCGTATATTTATATTGTTGATGACAATTACCATTACGAATTCCAATACATTTCCAACATCTCCAAAAGAAATCTGTATCTTCCAATTGCCTCCAACAATTCTTTTTTCCCCCAATTAGTGTTTTATGAAGAAATACTCTGATACTATGCAATTATCGCATTCTTAATCCATCACCCCACTGGTTTTTAATCTATTGATACATTTTCCCTA